CTAAGACTCCAGCCAAGGGACCAGGGCAGGAAGGGGATGCAGGTGCAATAACCCCTGCTCAAGGCCCCTCCCGCCTCCCCCTCACCCCAGGCTCCGCCCCGTCCGCCCTCCAAATCAGCACCGTTTCCACCCTAGCCGCCCCTACCTCCTCCTTCGGTGCTCCAGATTCCTCTGGCTTACAGACTTACTCAGGGAAGAGACCCAGGGGGCGGCCTAAGGATTCATGAGCATCCAGAGGAGGAGAAGAACAGGTTGTCTGAGAAGTATATGGGCGTGGAGTTTAAGGGGCGGACGCGGGCGTGGGAGGCGTTTCTGATGTCGGGGCAGCGGCGGTATAACTATGGGCAGCGGTATACAGAAGAGGAGGCAGCGCGGCTTCATGACAAGTAGGTTCTATGCTCTTGCTATGATCCTGCTATGCTTTGTGCTCCTTGTGTGCTCTTAGTGTGCTCCTTGTGTGCTCCGTTTCTTGATGTTCCAGTGTGGTTTTGAATGCAAAGCGGTTTTTAAGTCGACTCAGTCACCAGGCGGTAAAACCGTGGGCAGCCGGTGTACCTGTGAACGAAGCAGCGTGATCTCATGACAAGTAGGGTCGAATGCTGTGTTTGCTGCTGGTTTGGTTGTTTACATCTTTCCCCATCTTCTTGCTTCCCATTCCCTGTTCCACAGGGTGGCGTATCGCCTCAAGGGGACCGACAGACCCCACCAACTACTCTCTCGGGGAGGAGGACAAAGGCTTCGTCTCGGCTAAGTGACAGTCGAGGAATCTTCACAGGCCTCTCATTCTCTTCCTATTCCTGGTTGCTTCCCATTCCCTGTTCCACAGGGTGGCGTATCGCCTCAAGGGGACCGACAGCCCCCACCAACTACCCTCTCGGGGAGGAGGACAAGGCTCGTCTCGACTCAATGACAGTCGAGGAATTCTTAACCCACGTTCGCCGCACCAACGTCAGCAGCGTTTTTCAGGGACGGCGTGGCTCGTCCTTATTCAAGGGCGTGAGCTGGATGCCAGACAAGCAGCGGTGGGCGGCGCTGATCAAACTAGACCACGGAAAGGTGAGGAAGATCGGGTTATACACCACGGAAGAGGACGCGGCAGCAGCATACGATCGCGCTCTGATCGACCGCGACGGTCCAGAAGCTCTTACCAACGAGAGGTTTTTCCGGTCGTTAGACGACGATGCCTTAGACCGGTTGCTACAGTCGCGGCGGTCCCGAGACGAGAGCTGCAACTGGAAGGAACGGGCGAAGTATTTTCTCGATAATATCGAGAAGCTGGGGCATAAGTCGAAGAGGGCGAGGGCACCGTCCCCTGTGGGAGCGCGGGGACTTGTACGAGGAGGTCGGGGCGGGACCGGTGGGGTCGAGGGAAGGAGAGGAGGGGCCGCAGGCAGGGACCGTTGCTGCGCTGGGCGGGGGCGCGATTAGCTCTCAGAAGGTGTCGCAGAGTGCTGCTGCTGGGAGGAAGGGGCGTGGAGGTGGTGCTGCTGGTGGCGGGAGGTATGGGAGTGGAGGAATGGGGAGTGGGGGGTATGGGTATATGGGAGGGGGAATGATGGGTGGTGGGAGCGGGGTGATGGGCATGGGGGGTTATATGGGAGGTGGGGTCATGGGGGGGAATGTTATGGGGGCAAATGTAATGGGAGCGAATGTTATGGGTGCGAGTGTTATGGGTAGCGGTGGGGGGTACGGTCCTGGATCGGTGGGGTCTGTACCCTTCCCCCATGGCTGCGTCAGGGCATCTAGCCCCTAACCAGCGGGGCATGCCGAGTTTTAACCCGGGAGGGGGTGGGTTTGCAGGCGCCGGGGGAGGGAGGAAGGGTGGAGCGGTTGGGAGTGGTGCTGCTGGGTTCAAGAGAGGCCGATATGATTTTGAAGATGATGAGGAGGATTTTGATGAGGATGAGGAGGGGTTTGGGGAGGGGTATGAGGAGGAGGGGAGAGGAGGTGGGGGTGGTGGGGTGGGACGGGGCAGGTGGGGGGGTGGAGCAGGATGGAAGAGGCAGCAGCAGGATCAGTTGTATGGGGGTGTGATGGGGGATGGGATGGGGTCTGGTGCGGTTGGGATGGGTAGCAGCAGTCTTTACGGCTCTGGCTCTCGTGCTGGTGCTGCTGGTGGCGGTATTGGTGGTGCACAGCGTAAGAGGTCTCAACCCCACACCTCCTCTCCTGCCGAAGAAATTCTTCGTATGTACTCTGTAGGCCAGTCTGCATCAGGATGATCCTTCCCCAGGTGCAGACAAACTTGGGGCGGGCCGGCCGGCGCAGAGGGTTCTAAGGGACGTGGGAGGGGAGGAAGATGAAGAGCTGGAGGAGGATATGGTGGGAGGAGGAGGGGAGGAAGAGGAGGAAGCGGAGGAGGCGAGAGGGGGTGGATCCAGCCGTCGATTGGGCGATCTGATGACGAGGATCTCCGGCGCGCTATCTCAGCCGTTAGATGGGGAGGATGAGGAAGGGGGCGGGGGAAGGGGGATGGGTGGGGGGGACATGGGGGGAGAGGAGGAGGATGTGGTGGAGGTGAGAGGGAGAGGGAGGGGCAGGGGGAGGGGGAGGGGGAGGGGGAGAGGACGTGGGAGGGGTACGTCAGGACGGGTGATGCCTGTTTACTGACCATTTTGTTTGTTTGTTTGTTTTACGGTACTGACCATTTTGTTTGTTTGTTTTACTGACCCCTGTGCTGAAGCATTGGATGGGTATTGACCAAGTTTAGGGTTGCCAAAGATGCATCTCTGCCATGCACTCTTTTTGTGACTTTTGATGTCGCAAAGATGGATTATTTCCTCCCCTAGTGCTGCATCTCCGCATGGTGGCCCATCAGTGCTATCCAACCTCTTTTCGTCTCTTACTCCCCCTTCTTTTTGTCCTGTAAATGATGGCTTTTATGTTGAAGGAATGCTAGTCATGTAAGGTACCAATAATGTACAGTCATAAAAGTTAAATAAGCCCCTCAAATTATACGGTAATGCACCTGGAATAGGGGCCAGGAGTGACTGGTCTACTGACAACACACAAGGAAGCAGCGCTTGCATTCCTTTCAAAGGGTATTCGAGCAACATTTTTCAGCCGGACCAAGCTTGCAGTTTCTCAGCATGTTCCTCAGTACCTGCACCAAAGCCAACACCCATGCACTACTGCAGCCAATCTGGCAGTCAAGCCAACTAGGGTAATATTCTACTTAACAGTCTATAGCGTGGAAGCCAGTACTTTCCCCCTCAGTCCCTCAGTCGCCTTGGTGCCAGCAGTTTTCGAGCATGTTAACTCAGCACTTGAACCCACACATCCAGAGGCACGGGCATGCAGTAGTGCAGGCAGTCCAGCTTGGTCAGCAGCCCCGTGTGCCCATCCCACCTCTGCTTCCCCCGGTCAATCCCTCAACCTCCTCGGTGCCAGCAGTTTCTCGAGCATGTTGCTAAGGACTTGAACCCACGAGTCAAGAGGCCCGGGCATGCAGTAGTGCAGGCAGTCCAGCTTGGTCAGCAGCCCCGTGTGCCCATCGGGTCGCAGTGCTGTCATCCTTTCCACATCCATCATCGCCATCCCCAGATGCTCCGCCATTGGCTGGGACAGCTTGTTCTGGTGCGGAAACTTGTCCCAGTTGAACGGGAGTTTCGACGGGTCCTGCGGCGTTTCGATTGGCTTGTGGTATTTCGGGCAGTCTACATGCCCGCCCGCGCTGTTCCGGTAGATTAGAAGCTTATCGGGGAACCGGTTTCGGAGGTATAAGAGTGTAGTGCGCAGATGCGGCTCGAAGTCGTTATCCTCTCTATAGTGTGGCCCGCGGTTCAGTATAATCGCGTCGGCGGCGGGAAGCACAGGCGCCCGGGTCCAAGCAAAATGCAGATACTCCCGAGGGTTCCCCAGCTGCAAATGATCGTTCCGGAGAAACACCATCCGCAACCCCGGGCAGACGGAATCACCAAAAGTCACGTCCCGGCAGAAAATTTTTGCGGCGGGCCCAATAACCCACCCGCTGCATTCTGGTGACTCTTCCCTTGTCTCGTTGAATTCAGAGGTGACAGGTTTTGGGACCCCCAGAAGCATGGAATCAACAAGTACTTGGAAGAGTTGGTGCTGCAGTGAAGTCTCCCTACAAAGACCAGGGTTCGATCGCGCCCCACTCGGTCGCAGAATCGGCGTGGATCGAAAGGTTTCCACGGCTGCTGCTTGTTGTTGCTTACTGCTGCCTGCAACCCCTGGATTGAAATCTGACAGCTCCCTGCTGTTTCTGCTTCTGCTGCTGCTGTGGCTGAATCTATTTCCCCTGCCACCAGAACCAAAAAGACGCCGACGCTGAGAATCGAACCCTTCACCTTCCCCTTCCCCCTCGCCTTCATCCCCGTTATCCTCTTCAAGCAAATCACTTTCCTCCTCCCCCTCCTCTCCCTCCTCTCCCCCTCCTCCTGCTCCTCCTGCTTCCTCCTCATACCTCTCCTCTCCCATTCCCACACTCGCCATATCCTCCTTATAATCACACTTGCCTTTAGGAACATCCCAAACATACTTCAATTCCCCCCGAATCTTCCATTCGCTAGGCGCACCCCCCCTCCTTACAACGTCATCTGCTTCATTCCCAGCTATCACCCCCTTTGTAGTCTCCATTGCTCTAGTATCACACGTGCCCAAGCCCTTGTAAGGCCACGGCAAAAATCTCGGCCGCCCGTCAAATTTCCACCGCCCCGCCTGCCCGACGCACGCTGCCCACGACCGAAAACTTTCAACCTGCCCGGATGTTCGAAGAACTGAACCCGGAATCACTTTCGTGAGATCTGGAACGGACAAACCCCAGTCCTACCCCCTCCGATGTAGCCGCTGGTAGCATGGGCACGGCTGCAAGATTAAATTTTGCTGCTGCCCGTTCTTCCCTTCCTCGCAACTTCGCTTTACCGAGGCTCTTGATAGACTCTGTATAAGCAGCCTCACTTAAGTAAACGAATTGCGCTGCCCGATCCACCACCTCTTTCACATGGTCTAGGTCGCAAAATAATGGGGAGTTCTCGCCTTCAGCCCCTCCTCCAGACACGGCTGCCATTGCAGGGATCTACATCCGGTTCTTCCCCTCCAAAAGAGGGGCTAGTGCTGCAAACGGAGGTGTAATGCTGGAGTCTCAAAACGGAGGAGAGGGAGTAGGAGGGGAAGCGGAGGGCGGAAGGATGGCGCAGCTCCAGGACAAAAGTTGCCGGCCGCATGAAGATGGTGTGCATTAGGGTGCTGTCAGTGACTGTAATGAAAAGGGCTGTACGCGAGAAGAGGTTTCGCACTGTAGTTATAAAAGGGAGGGAGCGGGGCGGGCAGGGAAAAGAATGGGAGAGAAGGTGAGAATTGGGGTTAGGGTGCTATTGGTAGGTGACTGAGGAAGAGTGCTGTAATGCAAAAACGCGTATCACACTGGAATGAGAAAATACTTGCTTTTCCCATACTCACATTCTTCTACAGACATGCTCGGGCAGTAGCTAGCAACGCGGTGGGCGGGGAAATGCTGAAGCACAACATTCCGTATCGCCTCCGCATCGGCCCGATTATGCAGCCCTTGCAAGCCCACAACCACCATCCAATCACTGGGTAGTGCCGCCCATGCCACCTCATCCTCCTCCAAATCCACGTCAAGCATGGGCAGCACGCCGGCCAAAAATGGCGTCGGGTAGCTCACGGAAAGTTTTTCCTTGCTGCCCGGATTCTGGGCAGCTTTCGCGTCGTGGATGGCTTGGGAGGAGGCTTGGAGGAATAGGTGGTGGGATTGGATGACGGAGGGGAGGGAGAGGGAGGCTCGGGGGGTGATGGAGGAGGCTCGGGGGTGGTACGGGTGGTCCGGGTTGAAGAGCGAGGTTCGGATGTCTCGCCAAACCGAGTGCTGAGGCTCGTCACAGTGCTCTGAGAGAGGCTGGATGAGTGACTCGGCGAACAGGAGAGTGTTGGGCGTGTGGAAAGGGAAAGGCGTCCATGGCATGTCGAAGTCTAAAATGCTGGTGAGCATTCGACGCAGCCCCTGTTGTGAGAGAGGGAATAGAGAGGGGGTGGGGAAGGAAGGGGGCGAAGAAAAGAGTGTTGGGCGTGTGGAAGGGGAAAGGCGTCCATGGCAGGTCCAAATCGAGAATGCTGGTCAGCATTCGACGTAGGCCCTGTTAAAGGGGAGGTTGTGATCGGGTGTAGTAGAGAGTGGTTGGGGAGGGAAACGGGCGGGGAGGTGGGTGTAGGGCGTGTGCAAGGGGAAGCGGGTCCATGGCAGGTCAAAATCGCAAAATGCTGGAAAGGCATGTGCCAGCATTTTTTTTTTTTTTTTGTCTGAGAATTACAAAAAAGGCATGTGTCAGCAATTACCCAATTTCAAGGACGTCCCAAAACACGTGCCAGCAATTCCCCACTCACCCTGGAGGACGGCAGGGCCACGTGCGCGTCCTTGAGGGCGGGGTTCTTTGTCATCTTGCGCAGGACGTGCAGCAGCGGCAGCCTCTCAATGACCTGGTGGTACGAGCGTTGATCGCTCCGCGCCACCATCAGATTCACGACTGTCTGATGGGATACGACCGGAGCATCTTTGGGGTAGGCGAACTGGTGAAGGGGGGAAGAGGTGCGGGAGGATGGCGGAGCGAGAGTGAGTGAGCCTCAGCCTCTCGATGACCTGGTGGTACGAGCGCTGGTCACACCTTGCCAAGTTGCCACCATCAGTTTCACCACTGTTTGATGGGATACAACTGGAGCGTCTTTGGGGTAGGCGAACTGTAGAGAAGGGAGGCAGGGAGGGAGGAGGGACAAGAGGGGCAAGAGGGGCAAGAGGGGCAGCAGGGAAGAGCAAAAAGGGTGAGCCTCTCGATGACCTGGTGGTACGAGCGCTAGTCGCTCCGCGCCACCATCAGATTTACGACCGTCTGGTGTGAGACCGCAGGCGCGTCTTTGGGGTGAACGAATTGGCGAGAGGGAGGGAGGGAGGGAGGAGGGACAAGAGAGGAAGCAAGGAACAGCAAGTGCTGGTAGCCTCTGAATGCCCTGGTGCTACCATCAGATTCACAACTGTTTTATGTGGGAACACATTCCCCTCATCCATCCCCGTTACAAGCATACCTTGGCTTTCCAGTTGCAGCCGCCCGTGTCGAACAGGTGCGTCTTGTTAAACACCTGCCCGAAATGGTTCACAAACACGTCCCGCAAAACGAAAACCTGCCCGGCCCACTCCGCGCGCTCCTCCTCCGCGCCTCCCCCTCTTGCCCTCCGCATTACCCCCTCCGCGCCCTCCCCCTCCAGGGCCCAGCACCCCGAGCGCAGCAATTCCCCGGGTAACTTCCCACTTGCGTTCGCTACACAGGCTTCTAGAGGGTTGTTTCCGACTTTGTACCGTCTTGCCCGTAAAACTGTTGGAGGATAACTGATCGCGCCTGGAACTTTCTTCTTGCGAAAGAGCTGGTACACTAGGTCTTCCTGTTGACCAATGAGAGAGTTCGTCGCACCCATATACTCCTCGTGCCAACACGCGTCAATTTCTGGTTGGTAGCCGCCGCAAGGTTTTAA